AGCGGTTTAGATAAGGTGGTCAGAGAAGGCCTCTCTAGGGAGGCGACATGCAGCTGAGAGTGGTAGAGGTTGCAGAAGGAGCTGTCCAGGCAGAGGGGAGGGCAAGGCAGAGGCCATGATGCAGAGAAACAGTCTTGGCATAATAAACCCAAGGACAGAGAGAAGGTCATGCTGAAGGAGGGGCAGGGGGCATGGGGAGGCCAGGCCCTTACAGGTTTTACTCTATGAGTGCTGGGAAGCCATTGGAGAGCTTTGTGCATGGGCATGACAATCTGGTTGCTTTTTATAAAGATCGCTTTGGTTGCTGGGTGGAGAATGGATTATGGGGACCAGAGTGGATGCAAGAAGAATAGGAGGCTATCACAGCTGGCCTCTGAGAGGGAAGAAGTGGGCAGAAGTAGAGCTGAAAGGACTTGGTGATGGATTGGATGTAAGCCTCAGAGAAGGAGAGGACTCAAGGGTGCCTCCTGGGGTTGTGGTTTGGCTGGCTAGGGAGTGGTGCCAGTCACTAGTCAGGAAGAACAGGTTTGGGAGATGCAGAAATCAGGAGTTTGCTTTCGGTCTTGTTATGTTTGTGATGCCTATTAGATATTCAAGTGGACATGTCAAGCAGGCCACTGGATTTATTGGAGTCTGGAACTCAGAGCAAAAGCCAGGGCTGGATATACAAATGTGTCAGTCAGTAAAGTTCCTACAGCCCTGCTTGAGGGGACAAAATTGTCAACCCTGATGGGAAGTAATAGATTCAGAGCTACAGAAATTTTCCAGACTAAGGAGAAGCTGACAGCACTCCTCTGGGGGGGTCCGTGCAGGCTCTTGTGCATGACACACAGCAACTAACACATTTGTACATAAAACAAGTGTGTTTTGCTCTGAACTAAAGGCCATGACCACTTGAGATCCAGGTGCTCAAATTCTTCCTAGAGTAATTAGAAAGTAATTAACTAAAATTTTTATTAATTAAATTTTAATTGTCTGTGAAAAATTAATGCAAATACGTTCCTCTTACCTATGGTACAGACCAAGTTTAGCAGATAGCAACTATATGATTGTTGTTAGTTAATTGGCAATAGTCCTCTAAAATTGCTAAATTGTATTGCTGTTAAGTAAGAAAGAATGTGTTTGTTACCAAAAGATTATGGCTATTCAAATAAGTGATGTGTTTTGTCATTAGCATTAAATCATTTGAGTAAGGAGGGTGTATTAACTAGAGAGAAAATGGTTTATGCAAATGGCAATTTAATTGTGGCAAAAATGTCTTGTGCTTTAGAATTTTTCTTTATATGTGATATTAATTTTGAGTACCAAAGTTTAAATAAATGCAGTGCTTTTGAAACATGGTGATTGCTGTATTTATAATCGGCCCTCCATATCCCCTGGTTCTGTGTCCTTGAATTCAGCCAACTTCGGATTGAAAATATTCAGGAAAAAAAAATAATAAAAATAACAATACAACAATAAAAAATAATACAAATGAAAAATATAGTATAGCAACTCCTTACACAGCATTTACATCATGTTAGGTATTCCAAGTAATCTAAAGAAAATTTAAAGTATATGGAGGATGCTCATAGGTTATATGCAAATTTTATGCCATTTTATATTAGGGACTTGAGAATCTGCAGATTTTAGTATCTGTAGGGAGTCCAGAAACCAATCCCCTGTGGATACCGAGTGATGACCTTATTTCACAGTAGGAGTTTGACAGTGAGGCTTTGGGCAATTTTTTTTTAATCTCTAAATTGGTATGCTATAAGGGGTTATTGATATTAACATTATTGTGGCAAAAAGCAAAATTTAGGTGTGGTAAATTAAATTTGAATGGAACAATTTAAAGGAAACTAAATTCATAGGAGTTTTAAAAATAAAAATTCAACAGGAGATGGATTTTATCGAGAAATAAGTTATTCTTTGTTAGCAGATGTAACAATTACTTTTGAATATATCAACAATTTAAAAATTCAGCAACATTAAGTTAAACATAAACTATAGTGTCTGTCATTTCTAAAGTATCATTGATATTGCCTTACTCTTTGGATCACTGTGAAAATCATTTTTGACCAACTTTCTTGAACATTGGACGCAATATCTTGGATTATAAACCCTATTCGTTTTATTGTCTTTCATAAACCATTAATGCCTCTGAGGCAGAAAATGACACATCTCCTAGGAAGGTTGGATGGGTGAATTAGTTAGAGTCAACAAAAGGCTTCATGATATTAAAGTCCTGTACTAAATGTTCGGGTTCAGCTCAGCTCGTTTTATCTACAGATGCTAAACTGATAAAAATCATTCTGTGCAATTCTGATTTTCAATGCAAGTGCCTGTCAGCTTCCTTCAAGACATTTTAAAGAATTATGTGCCATCTTAATACTGATGTTTTCCCAATTGTGAAAGTTGTAAAGTGTTTATTTATACTTCATTAAAATGAAGGACCCTGGGGCACTGGGGAAGGGACAGGCATACAGATTGCATCATCCTCTTTTCAGATTAAGTTTAGTTAAATATACTTATTACTATCTCTGTAAAGAAGGATTAACTTGGTAGACATTCGTCCTTCCACTAACCCTGCGGAGACCTCCAGTTCCAGTATTTTGTTGCTTTGTAGGTTCAGAATGAAGAGGGTGAACTAGATGATCTCGAATGCACTCTCTCAACTCCAGGACTTTGTTTCTGTGAGGTCTTCTATCACCAATCATGTTCTGGGGATAACTCACCATAGCCAAACTCACAAGAAGCCGATGCCTGCACAGAAAAGCTGGCAAGTGAACACATAATAGATGGCCAGGTTGGCAGCATGACCACTATAGTCATTGACATTGGACTTTCTGTCCTGGGAGATAAGTCAATTCTGGAGACCGTTTACAGACTTGAAAGGACAGTTGAATGGTCTGAAGCATGTTTCCATCTAGGAAGGGTGAATTGCCCTCTTCTGATCTAGAGAGTTTTGTTCTACCAGTTTTCCTTTCTCATAAGTCTGCCCACTTCTGTAACCCTGCTTCAGCTTCCAGCTCTTGTCATCTTGTGAAACTTACCCTAACTAGGACATAGCAACGAGCTATTTCACCGATATGTTATTTTCTGGAAAACTTCCCACATGTCTTATTTTAGCAATTTGTGCTGATTCTTACTAGTTTTTTTTTTTTTTTTTTTTTTTTTTTTTTTTCATTCTGGGAAGAGATGGATGGATCATTTTCTTACCATGTCCTCAAATTGTGGAGGAATGCTTTATTTTGTTTCTGTAGACATCTATATATCGACTACAGCACACACTTTATTTTAACAAGATAAACATGTTTAGCTATTCTGAGAAACAAATTTATATATGCCAATTTTAGCATCTAACTAATATCATTTTTTCTCAAATGGCAGTCTTCAAATTGTAATCTACTAAATCTGATGTGCTATTGACCATTTTACACATTCTCCTCTCTCTTCCTATCCCCAGAGAAACAAATTTATATATGCCAATTTTAGCATCTAACTAATATCATTTTTTCTCAAATGGCAATCTTCAAATTGTAATCTACTAAATCTGATGTGCTATTGACCATTTTACACATTCTCCTCTCTCTTCCTATCCCCAATATTTCACTCCCATTTTCGGTTTACAGCTAAGAGTCGTGGTTCTTATTTCACTAAGAAAATAGAAGTGTCCAGAGAATTTCCACATGATCCCACTACTGCGCTAACAACCTGCCTGCACCTGCCCCCATATGCTCTCCCTTCCCTCCTGTCATCTTATCCATCTCACCTGCTGAAGGACATTATTCTAATTTCTGTGTCTGCTTCTGCATGATCAGATTTTCCCTCTCTTGGGCCCTTTGCATCCGCTTAGAAACACACTGTACTATTTCCTATCCTTAAAAAACTCTCCCTTATTTCCACATTCCCCTCTATGTGCTGGCCCATCTCTCTGCTCCTCCTTACCACAAAACTCCTTAAAGAGATGTCTCCACCTCCTTCCCTCCCGAGTTCCCTTTAACCTGCTCCATTCAGTTGTGTATCCCCAATGGTCCTGTGGAAATGCTGCTGTCAGGGCCATCGGAGGCTCCCCACTGCCCAGTGCAGTGTGATCTGTCTCCGTGCTCGTCGTGTCTGACCTGCCAGCCACTTTTAACACACTTGATCTCTTCTTCTCGAAACCTTCTTTTCACTTGGCCTCCAGAACACCACTTTCCTGTTGTTATTTTCTTCCTACCTCTTTGCTCTTTTTGCCGGTCCTCCCTTGTCTTCCTGACCTCTGCTGACCTTGCAGCATTGAGGTTTTTAGGGTTCAGTTTTCGGACCTCTTCTTTTCTTGTCTATACTCAGAACTGCTTCTAGCTTACTAACTTTACACATACTTTCTCTGTCCTTGATGATTCCCAAATTTATACCTCTAACTATGACTTCTCCCCTGAACTCCAGACTCATAGATGCACCTTTCTATCGATAGCTGCACTTGGCTGTCTAACAGGCACTTGGGGTTTAAAAATCTCCAAAACTGAACTCCTGCTTCCGTACTCCCCTCAGACCCACTTCTGCCCTGTCTTCTCATTCTCAGGGAATGACATTTCCATCATCTAAGCACTCAAGCCACAAACCTTGAAGTCATCCTTGACTTCTCTCCCTCATACCCTGAAGTCAGACCATCTGCAAATCTGTTGGCTCTGACCTTCAAAATATATCTGTCATCCAACCACTTCTTACCACGACCTTAGTCCAGGCCACCATCATCCCATGTCTGCATTCCTGCTGGAGCACCCTGCCTGGGCTCCCTGCTTCTCCCCTTCCCCTTCAGCCTGTTTTCCGGACTGTGTGGAGGACACACGCAGCAGGTCACGGCGACCACCCAGTGTCATGCCATCTCAGCGTGGTAGAGCCAGCGGTAGCCCACCAGGCCCGGCACTGCCCGATGGCCCCATCGGGCTCCCCCTTGCTCTCCTCCGCTGCACTGGCCTCCCCTCTGTTCCTCATCCCTCCTCAGCGCCATTGCTCCCGCTGTCCCCTCTGCCGGAATGCTCCTCCCAGACATCCTCCTGGCTCGCGCCCCTTCTCTTTCAGGCCCTTCTTCATCTAGCAACTTCCCTGCCACCAGCCCAGTGCTCCTAAGCCTGCTCAGTTTCATCCACAGCTCTGTGGCCGTCAGACACGTGGTATTCTTATTTGTACTCTGTCTTTCCTTTCCAAAGTGGAAGCAAAACAAGAAAAGGGCTTTGTCTGTTTCGTTCAATTTGTCTGCCACGTGCACAAGACAAGGCTTTGCTCTCAGAAAATGGTTGTTGAGTGCAGGAGTGAACACACGCATAACTAATAAAAGAAGATCTGTGGACTGGACTCCCGTCTACATATGTTAGCGTATGACACGATGTAAACGTCCATCAGCCCTAGCATATAGCAGTCTTGCTTTTACGATGTTCTTTCTTGGCTGTTGCTTCAGAGCTAACTTTTCTTCATATTATTAAAATAGCATGTTGTTCTGCTTTCTTTTGTTTGTTTTTTATCCCTTCATAAAGAGAAAAAGTTAATTTGTCTTGAGTTTCTTTTAAAGCATGTCCAAAAGTTAACTTTTTATGAATATTTTGGTTAATTACAAATATGGCTGGTCAGGGGACATTTATGCAGTCTGGGGGCTTCCTCTAGTGTGAAGACGATCTGGCTGAGAAGAGGAGGAGCAACGAAGTCCTGCGTGGGGCCATCGAGACCTACCAAGAGGTGGCCAGCCTGCCCGATGTCCCTGCAGACCTGGTGAAGCTGAGTCTGAAGCGGCGGTCAGACAGACAACAGTTTCTAGGTAAAATGCAGTAAAAGTTAATTCAGTAGAAAAATGACATTCTTTTATCTTGAAGAGCCTGAAGGCCGTGTATACTCTTAGAAGAGTTAAGTTACATGGGAGGAAACCTAAGTAACGAAGTCCTGCGTGGGGCCATCGAGACCTACCAAGAGGTGGCCAGCCTGCCCGATGTCCCCGCAGACCTGGTGAAGCTGAGTCTGAAGCGGCGGTCAGACAGACAACAGTTTCTAGGTAAAATGCAGTAAAAGTTAATTCAGTAGATAAATGACATTCTTTTATCTTGAAGATCCTGAAGGCCGTGTATACTCTTAGAAGAGTTAAGTTACATGGGAGGAAACCTAAGCTTTACAACTAATTTTAAGTAATTAAGCCAACTTTGTCTTAAACTGACCATCTCTAAAACTGAAATAGAAATCCTAATCTTAATAATTAAAAAGATGTGGCTGGCATTTTTGCCCCCCTCCCCCCTGCCACAAGCAGCATTTTAAAGGTGAGGCTAAGAGCTTGGCTAATTTGCCTAAGGAACCATAGCTAATAGGTTAATGGATCAGGAATCAAAAACTCTTCCTGTGATGCCAAATTCTTTTCTCTCACAGACAAACTGATTCATGGAGGTTGAAATTTTCAGGGGAACTATTTTTATAGAGGAATCTTAGGAGTTCCAGGCACTCTAAAATGTTACCTGTGTAAGATCTGATCCTAGACCATGGACAATGCTAGAAAATAAATTTTAATCATAAAGTAAATTTGCAAATGCTTTGAAATGAGCAGCATAACGCATCCTCTTGACCAACGCAGTTTCTTGGTGCCAAAGGCAAGTAAGACTGTTAACTTTGTTTTAACAAAGATTGTGATTCTTTCCCTGCAACATGTCATGACTAAACCGGGAGGGAAAGATCAAAGCCACTGTCACTGCTGAGGTGGACTCAGCTGGCTGAGTAGCGACATGGACACATTATCGATGTCACTTAGGGAGGCCCCTATAAGTAACAGTCAAGGCCTGAGTGACCCTTTATCTGTTTTCTGAGCAATGGAATAAATGGTAGTTGTGCCACTTTTGGAAATGACCAACATCTGTGATAGCAGTAGAATGCGAGTGATGATTAAAGCTGGAAGAAATGGTTGATTAGACATATTCATAAGGGCCTGTCGAGGGGAAGGAGAACATGCAGCACAAACTCAGGATGGAAGAAGCAGGGCTGAGATTCAAGGGAGGTGGCACAGGCCCCTGAGACATATTCATAAGGGCCTGTCGAGGGGAAGGAGAACATGCAGCACAAACTCAGGATGGAAAAAGCAGGGCTGAGATTCAAGGGAGGTGGCACAGGCCCCTGCCATGGACGCAAAGTCAGTCAGTGTTCCTGACTTTTCCTCATCCCCCAGCCTCCAATACGGCTCCGCTTAGCACTGTTTACTGATTCTGGCTTTAAAATGTTAATATTTTGTTCATCATGGATTATTTACATTAATTTTGATTTTTTTAAAGAATGCGTATAATTCAAGTCACAATTACAGAATTTTCTGACACCCTCTTAAATTTTGCACCGAGCGCCTCTCTTACCTCTCCCTATTCCCGGTTCTGGGAAGAAGACTGCCTACGAAGGAGTGGATCGTCTTGCATAGCAACCCTTCCATACTTTACTACAGTCTTTTCCTCTGAATAAATACAAGGGCAGTCCGCTCAGGGTGGCTGTAGGTGATTGCAGGCAGAAGATTTTAGTGAAATTGACAAGGTGGGGAAGTTCGTTCACAGTAGAACGGGGTTCCAGAGTGCAGAGAGAAAGGGACAGGGAGCAGATGGCTGCACGAGGGACTTTCTCTGTGCCTTTGTTGTGGGTGCTAGCAGTTGAGAAGCAGAAGAAAGGCGTGAGCCTGGTGAACAGGTAGGAGGAGGGAAGAGTGCAGAAGAGAAGACTCCAATTTGTTGGTGACGGAATTACTGGCTCTGCAAACCCTCCGTGAGTGCTGATCAGAATACAACTGGCCAGTGATGGGGCGCAGGCCATGGGGTAAGGCGGTGATGCTTCATGCCAGATAGTTTGTCAGTGGAGTGTACAACTTCATCAGCTTACTGCTACACCCACCATACTCTTGCCTAATACTGTACTCGGTCATGGTTTTTTCATGCATGCTAGCCTTATTTTGCACTTTCTCTTATACAGTTTGTCTTCCCAACTGTGGCAAAGAGTAATGACAATGGCCCCAGAAATTTTAAATTTCCATCAGCCAGCCTTAAAAATAAGTCAAAGCTTGGGGTTTTCATGATTCGCATAGTGCATAGTATCCTATCGGCCACCAGAGGGACCCATAATACTGGGTGATGTATCCATTGCTCAACAATTAGGTCATTACCTAGAGACCAGTTCACTTTTAATTGGAGACACTGCCAGCAGTTAATACTGTCCTGTGTATTTCAGTGCCTTTTCAGGTTTTATACAAGGTGCTAGACCCCAAAATCAATTAAACTTTTTATTCTCTACTCTCTACTTATAATTTTAAAGTTAATAAACCAAAAATATCTCAGCAAAACATTTTTTCAAGGAACTGGTAGTAAAACTTTCTTAAGGGGGACTTTAAAATAAAAAGATAAATGTTGATGAATTTAGAAAATGAGAATGTTTTTTAGATGTTAATAATCAATATTATATTTAGTATCTACTGATAGCAGTTATCAATACCATTGTAACTATATCATGAAATCCTACTGGGTATTTAATAAGCCACTAATACATAAAGTCAGATTTAAGCAAGTTTTCAGGCTCTGTTGAATAGTCTCATGGGTTGTATTCTTAATACAAAGACGTACACAATGTTTTTATTTCTATTTGTTTTTTCTTTTCCCCAAATCAGGTCACATGAGAGGTTCCCTGCTTACGCTACAGAGATTAGTTCAACTATTTCCCAATGACACATCCTTAAAGAATGACCTTGGAGTGGGCTACCTCTTGATAGGAGACAATGACAGTGCCAAGAAGGTTTATGAAGAGGTGAGCATCAGTGTTCTGTTAACTGTGTCAACTGATTTTGAATGTTAAATTCTAATGCTATTTGTAAATTACATTTAATATGCCCGATCTCTCACTGTTTTTATTAAAATTAAGTTAAATAGCATGTAAGTATTATCATAGTTGACATATTCTAAACTTTGTTTTCACATTGATTTTTTTTTTCCTTGTTAGGGTTTTAAATTTTAGTAAATGGTACATCAAAGCCTTCAACTTGTAATTACGATATTTCTAAAACTTCGTATTTATCGTCCCATAACCAGCCTTTCTAAAATGGTTCTTTATGATAGGAAGAAAAACCCAAGTTCTTGTGAATGTAGAAAAACATAATCTTTTCCCTTTTTTGCTTGAAGTCCCATCTAGAGAGACTGTAGAACATGGGTCTTTCAGGCATATGAAGTAAATTACTCACTTTTCAAAAGGGCATTGACTCTTCAATCCTCTGGCAAGGATGCCTTTCAAAGGATTTCTACCTTGTAGTGGAGGTTTTCATGGATTGCCTCTAAGTCACAAGTAACTATAAAACCTAGAAAATTGTGACTCCTTTCGGCAATGAGGGAATTCATTTGGTACAGAATAAAGAGGATATCAAATGAACTTTGAAGCTAGAGAAAGCTAATGACTCTAAAAGAAAGAAGAGTATGTTTGCTTGCTATTCCTTAATTTAAGCCTGTTGAGTAATGGTTTTCAAGCTGGCACAATTTACATCAATATGCTACTACTCAGTGATAGCCAATAAGATTCTTTCTATTCTTAAAATGCCATCAAGTATGGCAATTTCATACTTAATCCAGGGATTGGGTCCACTCATGAAGTGGTGCTTTCCTCTGTTTATTGCTGTTGATGCTTAATTGAAAATCATTGAATTTTGGAGCAGTTGTCTTTTTAACTTTTGTCATAATTTTTATATTTTCTGAGAGAGTAGAAATAAGACCTTGGCCTTTTATAGCATCACTAATGTCTATACAGAGTGGATTGAGCCCATAATGCTGAAAATGTGTGCCATCTTCCAAAGACCATTCCGGGTTATAAAATAATTCCATGTGGAACATTGTATTTGCTAATAGCCAAAATATAACACTCAGTGCCCTGCCCTGCAAAGTTTGGTTAAGGGAAGCATTATGTATCTCAGTGATTCAGGATCTCGTAATAATTCCATGTGGAACATTGTATTTGCTAATAGCCAAAATATAACACTCAGTGCCCTGCCTTGCAAAGTTTGGTTAAGGGAAGCATTATGTATCTCAGTGATTCAGGATCTCGCGGATGTAAGAATTGTTTAACTATAGCAGACACATCCATTATTTCACCACTGTCAGAGGCCACAAAGATGGAACCATGGAATTTCTGATTGTCTGCCTGCTTGCCTGCCTTCCTTCCAGAATTCTTTTCTATTTTCTTTCTCTCCCTCCATCCCTCCCTCCCTTCCTTCCTTTTATCTAGAAAACATGGTAAAGTGTTGACTTGGTACCAAGCACATTTGAGGTTTGTGCAGGATCTGAAGGCCTACTAGTTTCTCTAACCCACTCTGGGTTTGTCCCTTCTCACCTTTTAAAACTTTGCTTGAGTATATTCAGCCCTTTAACTGACAGAAGATCGCACATATATAAAGCATTTTACTTCATCATGAAATATAAAATTCACCTGCTGTTGTTTATACATTTGAAATCATAGTCTCCTCTGAATACACATAAGAATCTGCAGAAAGTCTGGAATACAACCATATTATACAATGGAATGGGTGTCTTTTTAAAGAAGCATTAATCAACTGAAAATACGTGTGGGGTTTTCCTTTTTTCCCCTCTTCTCACTTCTAAAGTAATAAGCTGTATCTAATGGATTCTCTTTCCTTATCCAGAGTTTATCCTGATACATTTATGTCCCTGTCAGATCATTTTTGGAAAATTGATATTGTAATTTTGTATATTTTTAATGTTTATTTTTATTTTTGAGTACATTTATAAAAATCATTGGTGATTCTCTTTCTGGACTTTTGCTGCTTTTATTTTTAACAAGGAGACTTAGCTTTAAAATGGATTAACATAGATTGCTCCTATCCGTGGCTTTTGGAAGTTCCTCCTGTGTTTCCCCTCCACGTTAGCAATGCAACCAGCTCCTAAAGCCACCCGCGGGCAGGAGGCCATTCCTGGTGCTCCCCCAACGCCTTGCACGTGTCCACTCACTCGGACAGCACACATGTGCTAAAGCCCATACCCACCAGCTGGGGCAACAGCAGTTAATGAAACAAACACAGCACGTGCCCTCATGGAGTTTTTAATCTGGTAACAAATCACTAATTTTTGTTCATTTTACCTTCTGAATATCTTGCAAATCTCCTCCCTCTCTAACCCATGCATTCAGCAGCTCTTGCCTGAACAGATTTGTCCTGCCCAGGCTTGGTCTCCTCCAACCTTCATCAACACTACAATACAAATCTGACTATCCCCCTCAGCTTGAACTCTTCAGTGGTCCCCACTGCCCACAGCAGTGGTCTTCAGCCATGTTTCATTGCATACCTTCCAGTCTAAAGTGTTCACGCAAATTCCTGCAATATGTTTGTTTGCATATTTATATATTATGTACATCTGAATATGTACTAATATATCATGTACATTATAGAATGCACACTCCCCAAAATAAGTTTTAAGATAAAATATTTAAAATACTATTTAAATTTTATTTAACTGCCAAAAAATCTTTTTACTTCCACTAGAAAATTAATATTTTAACTATATCAATATGCAGTGCTTTTTATGATTATGTGAGGTTTTTTTAATCCTAGTAATGTGCCATGCAGAGTTTGTACTAGGAGTAGAACTGTCAGCTGTATCAGTTTGTTGTTATCTGTGCTCTGTGTGTGTGTGTGTGTGCATGTGTGTGTGCGCACGCACATGTGTGTGTCTGTGTATTATACGTACAGCTTGAGTATCCCTTATCCAAAATACTTGGAACCAGAAATGTTTCAGATTTTGGATTTTGGAATATTTGCACATAAGTTATGATATATCTTGGGGAGGGGACCCAAGTGCCTTGGGTTGAATATCCCACCAAAACTTAATCCCCACTGTAACTGTTGAGGCTGGGAAATCTTATTACAGTAATTGACCGGTGGGGCCTTGAAGAGGTGATTAAGTTGATGGTTTAATGGTGGTCATAAGCCTGGTTCTGAGGGCTCCAGAAGGAAGAGCTACCTCTCTGTTTCTGCGCCACCGTTTTCTTTGAGACCCCTGCATTGCTGTAAAGTCACCCCAAAGAAGATCCTCACCAGATGTGTTCCCTGAACTTCGGACTTCCCAGCCTCTGAAACTAAGCAATAAATTTAATTTTCTTATGAAGTACCCAGTTCCAAGTATTTTGTTATAAGCTATAGAAATGGACTAATACAGAAAATTGGTACCAGAGAGGTGGGGTGTTGCTTATAACAAATACTTGAAAATGTGGATGCAGCTTTGGAACTGGGTGTTGAGCAGAGGCTGGAAGAATTTGAAGGAGCAGGCCAGGAAAAACCTGGATGCTGGTGCGAGTTTAGAAGACAAAAAAAAACAGGGAAGGTTTAAAATGTTTTAGAGACTGGTTAAATGGTGGTGACCAGAATGCTTTTGGAAATATGGACTATAAAGGCCATTCTAAGGAGATCTCAGATAGAAATGAGAAGGAGTTTATTGGAAACTAGGTCAAAGATCACCATTTCTATGAACTGGCAAGGAACTTGGCTGCATTCTGTTCATGCCCAAAAGTTTTACAGAATGTGGAACTTCAAGGTACTGAACCAGGATATTTGGCAAAAGAAATTTCAAAACAGCAAAGTGTTCAGGAAGCGACATGGCTACTTGCAGCAGCCTACGCTGAGTTATGGCTGCAAAAGCAGGACATAAAGGCAGAATTTATAATTAAAAGGAAAGCAGAGCATAAAGATATGGGAATTTTGTAGCCTGGTCATGTGGTTGAGAAGAAGAGAGCATTTTCAGGAGAACAATTCAGTGTTGTAGTCCAGCAACTGTTTGCTAAGGAGATTAGTACAGAAGAAAGGGATTATCAAGAGAAAGAAAGAAAAGACCCTGAAGGCATTTCAGAGATCTTGGAGGCTGGTCTTCCATTACAGACCCAGATGCCTAGGGAGACAGAATGGTCTTGGGGAACAGGCCCAAGGCACCCTCCACGGGCTCACTGCCCAGAACCACCTCGGGATGCTGCTCCCCACACCAGTACCCCAGCTGCTTTGGCTGCTCCAGCTGTGGCTAAATTGGCCCCATGTGTGACTGGACCCACGGCTTTGGAAGATAAAAATCAGAAGTCTTGGTGGTGTCCACATGGTGTTAAGTTAGCAAGCTCACAGAATGCCAGAGCTGTGAAGGCTTGGGAGCCTCCACCATGATTTCAAAGGATATATGGAAAAGTGTGGGGGCCCAGGAAGAGATCTGTCACAGCGGTGGAGTCACCACATAAAGTCTTCACTAAAGCAATGCCAAGAGGAAATGTGGGGTCAGAGTTGCAGCAGAAAAACCCCACCCAAGCCATGCCTAGTGGAGCTGTGGGATTGGGACCGCCATGGAGACCCCAGAATTGTGGAGCTACCAGCAGGCAATTCTAGCCTCTGAGAGCTAAAGCATGGCTTGAGACCAGGAATGCCGTAAGAGCAGAGTTTCCCAAGGATGTGGCACCCAACCCCACACCCACATGCAGAAGACATCGAACAGGGAGTCAGGGTACATGATTTACCAGCTGTAAGATTTAACGCCTGCCCTGCTAGGTTTCGGACTATTTAGGACCTGTTACTGCTTTCTTTTTGTTTATTTCTCCCTTTTTGAATGGGAATAACTATCCTATCCTTGTCCCACTATTGTATCTTGGCAGTAAATAACTCGTTTCACAGATGTGACTTTGGGTTTTGGACTTTTGAGTTGAAACAGGTTTGGGGATGAAATGAATGTATTTATATGTGATTTTTGAATGGGAATAACTATCCTATCCTTGTCCCACTATTGTATCTTGGCAGTAAATAACTTGTTTCACAGATGTGACTTTGGGTTTTGGACTTTTGAGTTGAAACAGGTTTGGGGATGAAATGAATGTATTTATATGAAAGGACATGAGTTTGGGGGGAAGGACAGGGGCAGAATGCATTGCATTGAATGTCCCCCCCAAAACTTAATCCCCACTATAACTGTTGAGGGTAGGAAATCCTATTGTGGTAAGGAAACACCTATGGCGTGTAGGGCTTTGAAGAGGTGATTAAGTTGATGGTTTAATCATAGTTGTGGGCATGGTTCTGAGGGCTTCAAAAGGAGAGAACAGGAGGACCTCTCTCTCTCTGCTCCACCATTTTCTGCCCTTTGAGACTCTTGCATTGCTGTAAAGCCACCCCAAAGAAGATCCTCACCAAATGTGTTCCCTTGACTTCCGACTTCCCAGCCTCTGAAACTATAAGCAATAAATTTTGTTTTCTTACAAAGTACTCAGTTCCACATATTTTGTTATAAGCAGCAGAAATGGACTAATACAGAGTCTATCACAGCTCAAGGGAGCGGCAGGAGTCTTTCTGCATAAACTGTGTTGTACACAACACTGCGTAAACTGTGTTGTGTGCCTGTATTTTGACTGCAACCCATCACATGAGGTCAGATATGGAATTTTCCACTTGTGGCATCATATCAGTACTCAAAAAGTTTCAAATTTTGGAGCATTTCAGATTTCAGATGTTTGGATTAGGTATTAGGGAGAGAGAGAGAGAATCTGTGTAATCTTATTACTATTAGTCTCAATCTGAGTTTCTTAGAAACCATATAAAACCACTTGTCATTTTCTGAGGGTTTGTTGATCACAGCCAGGCAGCAACACCAGCATATGCGTTGTGCATCCACGTCTGAAGTGCAGTAAGTGCAGTCCCTGAACGTGAAAAGTCGAGCACGGAGGGCAACACTGTCATTCTCTCAGGGCGCCTGTGCCCACCTCCCCTCCTGTCAGCATTTGTACCAAATGGGCCACCTGACTGCCCACCATGCAGTTAAAAGCAGAGCCACAGAGTCTGTTCCATGCTAAATATTATATCTCAGAGACAGATATAAGTAGGAGTATTTATAATTTCTCTCTGCTCCCCAGAAGATTATCTTAGACACTGAACAGGATGTGTTGTGATTTGATTTAACACTCTCTTCTCCTGTGTCATTTTGTTTGTAATTGAACAGCATCCCTTTTGCTACTGCTGGCCCACTATTCCTTTTTACTCACTTTCTCCTATGCCTTGAATGCCTTCTCCCCCACTGACCCCGACTTCCCTTTTTTTGGTGAACTCCTATTCATCCCTAAATACCTTTCAGACCTGTCCCCTGCCTGCAGTCACCCTGGAGTGAGCTAGGTGTCCCTCAGTATGCCCTGCACCCCTCTGCCTGTCTCTGTGGTTACACTGAACATTTCACACTGGCATTGTCTGCTTGTGAATCTGTCTCCCTCACTTCACTGACAGCCCCCTGAGAAAAGAGAGTCTCTCTCATTCATGTTTATAAGTCCAGGGCTTAGGAGAGTTCTGTGTGTTCTAAAATGTCTACTAAGCAAATAAATTTGTTAATTACTTGAAATGATAGCTGTGTGCCTACAACAGGCAGAAGTGTCATCAGTGCAGCTGTAATAATTATGATAATCCCTTCCTGCTTATGCAGGCAGCAACATGATCTGCCTCAATTCAGTCCAGTTCCAGAGGTATTTATTGAGCTCCTGTTCTGTGTCTAGCTCAGGGACAATGCTGTGGAAGATGCAGAGAAACAGATCTGCGCTTTCAGAGATCTAGTTAGGGAGGAAAGCCCAGCATGCACCCACCCATGC